ACCTCACTAGTTCATTTTAAAACCGGAATACCGGTAAAATGCCGGTATTTTGATAATTTGTTTATCCTGTCGCTTAAAGATATGTCTGTTTATGCCATTATGGAGTTTAAAGATAAATTTGTTCCGAGAAATTTAAACTTGAGTGTAATATGTATAATACCGGTATTTTTAGGGTAAATACCGGTATTTACACCGCCGAAAAATCGGGCGGTATACTGGTATTTTGGTATACCGATATTGCATTCCCTGCCGTACAAGTGATTGTATTTTTAAATACATTTTTATCGATAATAAATAAAAAATCTTAAGATATGTCGTCTTATATAGTCCGTTCAGTAGCTTTGCCAAGCTGCTCGCTGTTCCGTACCGCAGCGAAAGGGTTGATATTATGATTATACAAGTAGAATTTTGGCACTAATACTGGGCTGTGGCTTAATTAAAAATTTCACATTAACAGTAAATGATGTAATTAATAATGTAATTAATAATGTTTGTTTTGACAGTGTCACTTCTTTCATCTCGCCTATCTGTGCCTGTTACCTGCAAGATTCGTGTATTCGAGAGCATAGAGCATACCGTGCGTTATGCGCGCATGCTGGAGGAGGCCGGTTGCAGTATGCTAACCGTCCATGGTAGGACAAGGGAGCAAAAGGGACCCATGACTGGGCTGGCTAGTTGGGATCACATAAGGGCCGTCAGGTATTATTAAGCAAATAAAATTAATTTAAGATTGATACTGATCCATCCATCCAATCGTGTTAATCACCTAATCAACAGCGAAATGTATACTCTGCATATGGCTTTATTATAGTCCAAATAATACCAAAATATATTTGATTGCTGTATTTAATTTAGGCTTCACATATTTATATCTGATACCATTGTTTGTATCCTTTTCAGACAAAATGTAAACATTCCAGTATTAGCTAATGGTAACATTCAGTATCTACATGATGCAATAAAATGTTTAGAATATACAGGAGCACATGGTGTAATGGCTGCTGAAGGACATCTTTATAATCCTGCAATATTTCAAGGTAAATCCGTTCCTGTATGGGAAATTGCAGAAGAATACCTAGAGCTTGTTAAACTATACCCTGCACCATCATCTTACATTAGGGGTCATCTATTCAAGCTGTTCCAACATATGTAAGTTCTTATATAGTGATATATTAGCATATTAATTATAATGCAATAATTTAATTGAAATGAATGGCTCTACCCTCAAAATGCGTTTCTGCACTTTTAATAAAAAGTATATCATGTATAGGGATTAAAATCAATAAGTGTAATCTTCTATATATATATAAAAATAAGTCGGGTTTTCCTTCCTGACGAAATAACTCCAGAGCGCACGAACCGATTTCGGCAATTTTGCATTCGGTGGAAAGGTCTCGGGCTTCGCAAGGTTTATAGCTAAGAAAATTAGTGGTGCATGGCATCGTGCCCTAATGCAAATTGCTGGAACTTCACGCACCGTAATTAAAAATTCGAGTATTAAAAATAATCAATAATTGTTTTAAATAATTGCAAATAGATTATCTTCTATATATATATATATATATATATATATATATATATATATAAATAAGTCGGGTTTTCTTTCCTGATCAAATTTTTCCTTTTTAAATATAAAAAAAACAAAAATTTTCTTCATCTTTCTCACGAAACCATCTGGTGGCGAAACGGAGTTCGTCGGGTTTGCTAGTATAATATAAAATATATTTTTACAGAATGATATTACCCGAAAATGCTGAGCAAAGATCCCAACTTGCAGTTGCGCAGAATGTAGAGGAATATTCAAGAATAGTATCTGAAATTAGAATTAGATACATGCCATATTACACAGGAGAGAAATACTGGAACCTCTCTGCCGAACCTACTTACAATTTAGTTTTTCCACCATGGATGTGTCAACCTTATGTACGGCCACCACCAGAAGAACATTTGAAGAAAGTTGAAGAAAATCAAAACAAAAGCGCAGATGTATATATTTTTATTATATTATATTATATACACTTTTGTTTAATATTTAGTAACAATTGTATTTGTGATTGAATTTATTTAGCTGCTACCCAAAAGAAATTATGAGGATGCAGATGGAAATATGATAAGTCGAAAGAGAATGAAAAAATTAAGAAGAATTCAAAGACGACCAATAAGAGATCCTTCTGAATATGTTAAAAGAACTGGAGAATATTGCTTGTGTTGCCCAAATCCTATTGTAAGTATTTGATTTTCTGTATTTAATTAACGTATTATGATTTAAATTTAATATTTAATTCAGGGAGACAAATGCACATATACTTTATGTAAAAAGTGCTGCAAAGAAAAATGTTACCATGAAAATCTGGACTGTGCTGGACATAGAATTCTTGTCAAAACTAGAAGAGAGATTGCTATAAAACACGCAGCTCAGAGAGAAAATGGTTTGAATGAAGCTATAGTAGAAAATGATGAAAATAGACGATTAGATACTTGTAATAATAGCACACAATACATGAATTTTACATGACATTTTATACCGACATGAACAAGTTATTCAATTATGTAAATAATTAATTTTATATTATATATAAATATATTTAATAAAAATATATTTTCAATGAATTTATTATTTGGACCTGTATGTTTCTAAGTGAAAATAGTTCTTTCAGGCGAAATCCGAAAGTTTGATCACAAACAGAAAGAGAACAATCATCGAGATTTCCTTATAATCTAAAAATATATATTAAAAACTATGACTATTTGGCCAATAGCCATTTGTAAATAATTGTTATTTACAACAGCTTATAGAATGTACAATATAGTTGCTTTTGAAAAAAAAACAGGAGTTTGACTACGCATAATTCTTAATGTTAGGTGTTTAACATTAAAACCTTTTACATCTTTTTTTTGTCTGTCATTTTTTTAATGACTTACATTAAATATCATGAAAATTATATTTTTTTGATATTATGTTGGTTTTAGCTCTGAAATCAGTAATCATTTGTTTTTTTCTTTAGTAGTTGTGTGGTAATATCTATAATATAATAATAATTTTACAAAATATATAAACTTAGCTTACTTCAATTTAAGATTTCAGCTATGTTAAATTAATAGGATACAATACCAGCTTTGTTTTGTCAGATATATGTTTATTTATAAAATAATTTTTTTTTGAATACCTAGTTGCTTTTTGAATTAATTTTGTTTAAATATATTGAAGAAATATTATTTTCTTTGTATGAATAAGAATTCTTGTTTTTATTAATATTATGTATGTGTATATATATATATATATATAATTATAATATGGAAATGGCTGAACCTGTTTTTGCCAAAAACTAACCTCTTCTCCCAATCATAACAAATTCAATGTTTTTTAAATAATTCAAATCCGATACTCCGTTCTCTCAAAACCTCCGTAATGGCTGGACCTGACTTTGCCAAAAACTAATCAGCACATCTCCCTTTCAATAGGAATCGAATGTTTTTTGAACCATTCAAATCGGTTGATCCGTGCGCCTGAAAACGTTGACGAAAAAATGTGGACATACAAAACATACACACACACACATCCATTTTTTCTGACGTATGCCAAAATGTTCAGAAACCTTCAAAACGTTGAGAAATGTGAAAATTTTAATTTTTGATTTTTGGCCCATTACTATAACTATCCTACGGGAAGTTAAAAATATCTATCGCATAATTGGGCTCTTCGGCTAAACTTTTATGTTTAGAAATTTTATCTGAAAAGAAAAGAAATACAAAAACAAAATAATACAATAAAATAGCAAAATTTTTAAAATCAAATTATCAGTTTAATTAATTGGTAAATTATGTCATTAATATATTATTAATATTCCTACATCAAATATTTTGTGTTCTATAAAAAAACAGGACAATATTTATATAAAACATTAGTTCCAACGTTCCAACCATATAATAAAAAGAAAAGTTTTCATTTATTTGGTTTTGAAAACCTAATTGTTTTCAAAATGCAATAAATAAAATAATAATAAAAATATAAATATAAAATTTTAATTTTAATACACATTATTTGTAATTCAAATTTATTTTTTCTGTTCTTATTTACGCGCAGCACTGCGATGTTGTTAAGCATGATTTTCATCTGCTCGACCAATCAACGACGTTGTATTCTAATAACGAATTTCAATTTGTGTAATTGTTGTTTAAAACGGCCGACTCCATTTTGGTTTTTGCGCTGTGAATTTTTTATATGTTACCAGTAATTTTTAATTCGATATTTAAGTCAAATAATTACTTTTTTAATACATTGGATTGATATCAATACAAAGAAGAACATACTAAAGGTGGGTATATCATAAAATAAGAGATAGTCTAACTTAATTTTTGAATGGAACGACTTTTATCACAACTCATAATGTGTGGACAATGAAATGCCTAGTTTATTACCATGCAACTTTCATATCTTAAAATCAATTACAGTAATAAGCGATGTATTCAAATTTATAGTTTATTATCGTTTCTGTTTGGATTCTCAAGAATAAACGATAATATTAGCTTATTTTATCTAAAAAGCGCCTGATTAGCGACCGATAATGTTCGTTGTTCTCTTAAATGTTTGAAAGTTTTAATTTTCAGTATATTAGAAAAAATTGAGAGAGTTACTCTACTTTTAGAACAAAATCTTCTTTATAGTTCGGTGTAGTTATAATCACGTATAAATTTTTATATTGTGATAGACTCAAGGCATATTTGCTAATAATAAATACAATATAATACTATGTCATTAAACAATTATAATTTATTCTATTGTATTGCGGAAATAAAAATGAGTCGAGCGTTTATTGAAACGCATAAAAAACTAGATTTCATTTTTCATCTGGATCTGGATGGTCTAATTGGGCATTATTATCAGGGTGTGATCTGATTGTACATAACCAAGCTTCCACCGCTTACCCGGCAACAGTAATTGTCGTGTCATTTATCAGACATTCATCGCCATCTTATTGCAAAAATAATAACTTGCACGTGTAAATTCACGTTCTTTATAATTAATATGACCATTGGCCCATACTTCTCATTTAGCAAATACATTGTTGGTGTATGTTGTTGTTAGACATAAATGTAAATTCCAATGTGAACGTTTTTAAGTAATTGTATATAGTTTTTACATATTTATTCCAAAATGGATATGCGTGATATATTTGTGAAATTAGTGAAGGGCGCTAAGTTCACTAAAAAGAGAACCAATTCTAATTCACATGTAATATAGGCTAACCTAGCAAATGAATTTTGAATATAATGTATGATGTTTAATGTAGCACTAATAAAATGTATGTTATAGATGTCTCGAACTCAGGTCACAAAAGTTGAACCTAAGACGGCAGTAAAGTCAGAACCGGTAGAAAGTGTCGAAAGGCCGGATTCAACAAATTGCATAGATGAAGAAAATAGTGACAGGACCATTTCTTTATTGGGTTCTATTTCAGCAACTGAAAACGGTAATATCATGAGACGTAAAAGGAAAAGGAAGGTAATAACCGAAGAACTGCAGGACAAATTGAAGCAAGAAGAGGTATGATCTACTGTCATTGTTATTCATTTTTATTCTTTATGTTTTTATTTACTTTGATTTATTGCAGATTAATCATTACAGAAATTTAAATCTTATAAGTGTGGTTGGAAGAAATGTTCCAGCTCCCATTAAGTGTTTTGAAGAATTGAAATCAACGTATAATGTTGACTCATTGCTTATGCAAAATTTGCAAAGCTGTGGATATGATGATCCGACAGCTGTACAAAAGCAAGCAATGACGGCTATGCTTGAGGTTTCTATGACATATTAATCTCTGTTAATAACAGTTTTTTCAACAGTGTTGTTATGTTCTATTATAGAAACGACAAATTCTGTGTTGTGCTCCTACAGGGTCTGGAAAAACTATGGCCTTTATGTTGCCTCTTCTAAATCATTTAGGAAGAGCTGAAAAACGAGGTTTTAGGTAATGTTTGCTTTTTTGCGGAATTTATAAATATATATATATATATATATATATATATATATATATATATATATATATATATATATATGTTTCTTTTCCGAACAATAAATCCAATAAATAAAACAATTTGTTTTTTGTAGATGTTTAATTAAACATGTTGAAAAAAATCAGGACTTTTCTATTAAATATATATATATATATATATATATATATATATATATATATATATACAGTAGAATCCGCTTAGTATGACATCGAAGGGAAGCCGAAATCTCGTCATACTAACCGGTCGTCATTAAAAGCGTACTGAAGGAAAATTATACTGTCTAAACCCAATGAACAACACATAACATACATTATGAAATTATACATTTTTTGCCCTCTACTATCAAATATAATTGTTAAAAAAAATCTAATTTTATTTGTTTATGAGATATCCGTGGTGGGCCATTAATAATTAGTCTACCCTACCCATAAACATACAAATGTGATTTTTTAATGTAAGTAATCAGTAATTTTTGATTGATTTCTTTACATAATTTTATTGTAAAAACAGTCCCTGGTGCTATTGTGCACAAAAGACATAGCAATTGCTTTCGTAGACTTGGCCACATCATGTAAAATCTTGTCGGTCATTATAATTGGACATATTTTTTTGCAAAAATGGGTCATTATAAGCGACATGTCAATGTAAGCGATGTCAATATATCCGACTAGACAGCTGTTTTTTTAAGGAATTTTATATGGAAACCAAATTCCTAGTGCGATTACGTCATATTAGGCGGTTGTCAATATATCCGGCGTCATACTAATCGGATTCTACTGTATATATATACTGCACAGGACTGACATGATCCGCGCCATATTCAAACATTCATACAATATATTTCGCAAACAATATATATATATATATATATATATATATATATATTTATGTAGAGCTTTGACCAAAGAATCCAATTGTAATACAAACCCAAAAAGTATTGTGAGAAATTTTGATTTATTATCAACGTTTTTGAACTAAGTACGTTTGTGACATCTGTCACGAAACATAATCTTGATTATATATAAACTAATAACATACTTAAGGAAAAATAAAAATTAGTGCATTTTTATAAATTAATGAAATTATTAAACAGGAAATTATGTAAAAAATCATAAAAATGAATATAATAAATGAATGGATAATGTAAGAAATATTAAAATGATTGCTAAAAGTTTTTTAAAAAGTGAAATTAAGAAAAAACAATTATTTATCTGAATGATTGTTCTACACTAACTCTTTATATGTCACTATAGCAGTTTTTGTTTTTAAAGCAGTTTGAATTAATTGTTCTTGCTTGTGGTGAACACCATAGAAACTTTAAAAGTACTCTTGCCCAACACTTGGTCAAACATTTTCATTCCTGGTTGTTTATATTTAATCAAGATTATGTTTCTTGACATATGTCCTGAAGATGGAATGTTGAATGAACTAAGTTGTGAAACGTCGTTATTAAATAAAAATCTCTTTAAAATACTTTTTAGATTGTTCCAATAATTTAAACTTTTATTTAGATTATTCGGCTGCGAATAAACATTTCAAAAATATGTTTTAATGTTGAACAAAAATATCTAAAGTTTGCATATATATATATATATATATATATATATATATATAATTTAAATTAAATTTTATTATATAATTTAAAGAAAATTAAAAAAATTATGGGTAATGTAATAAATTGAATTGAATTTAATTGTTATTGTTTTGTTTTAATCATTTACAATTCAAAATTAATATTATTTAAGCTGATATACATGCATTTATGGATGCAATTATATAATGTGCATATTCTTGATCTACTTTTTCAGTATGTATTTCAATTTTATGTTTTTGTGTATGAAGTAACAAATGTAAAAAGCTTGAAGCAATTATGACAACTGCTTCATTATGTGAAGGGATCACAATTATATTGTTCCTTCAGTTCACTAAGATTTAATAACAGCATGTAACATTACACTTAAAAGTCAGTTTATGATGACTTCTGTCTTTCTACAGGGCTGTGATTCTTTGTCCAACCCGAGAGTTAGCAAAACAAATATTAAGAGAATGTTTACGTCTCAGTGATGGTACTTCTCTTAAACCTCATTTTATTTACAAAGTCCAGCAGGAAGCAAAAAGATACAGTGCTAAAACATTCATGAAGTTTGGTATGTTTTATTTTTAATTATTGAAAACAAGATCTTTCTTTGCTCATCTTTTTCTAAATATACCTATTTGAATGTGTACATAGAATTGAATTCATACATTTTAATTTACGAAATTAAATGGTTTGACATTACAGATCTATTGATTACAACACCTAAAAGACTTTGTTTCATGTTGAACCAAGATCCGGTCTTAATTTCCTTGGAAAAGTAAGTATGCTTTATTTTATTCTTATTTAACCATTAAGGTTAATTTTTTATTGAGATATATGTATTGCTATCAATATGAATTTTATAGTAGTAAATAAATTTCTTTTTTTATAAAATTGAGAAAACTATAATTGCTTTTGCATCCCGATTACAGCAAGATAATTAGAATATATATTTATATGTGTATATGTATATATATATATATATATATATATATATATATATAAATGATGTGCCAAGTCGAATCAGATTTTACTTGATGCAATATATATATATATATATATATATATATATATATATATATATATATATTTATATTTATGTCAGTGTTGATGAAATACTCACATAATCAGATTCTATTTTTTTAATTTTGTGTTTGAATGTACAATCTTCTAGGAAAAGAGAAAAATGTACAATTTATTTTTTAATCACATTAACAATTAATATTTAATTCATTTTGCAGTGTTGAGTGGTTAGTAATCGATGAAGCGGATAAGTTATTTGAGACTGGTATTCGAAGTTTCCGAGACCAATTAGATAAGATTCTCTTAGCATGTTCTAATAAAAATAGAAAAATAGCCCTATTTAGTGCCACTCAAACTCCAGCTATTTCCAAATGGGCCAGGCACAATATGAAAGGTCTCATTAATATCACAATCGGACAAAGGTTTGTAAAATGCAGTATAACAACAAAATCCAAGTTGCAAAACTAGGGCAAAAACAAATATCATATATATTACACTTAAATGAGTGTTATAGTTGTTGTTAGCTTTTAGTGCTAGAATTGCAATTTTTAATATCTTGCTATAAACTCTCATTTTTAATGTAACGGTATTTCTATTGAAATTTTAACATAATATAATTAATTTTTATTAAATTTGATGGCTAATCAGAATCATTTTTATTTTTAGAAATTCAGCTGCTGATACAGTTGACCAAGAGCTACTTTTTGTAGGTGATGAGAGTGGAAAATTATTAGCAGTTCGAGATTTGATACGAAAAGGCATCAAGCCACCAGTATTGGTATTTGTACAAAGTAAAGAACGTGCTCAGGAGCTTTTTACTGAACTTATCTATGACGGGATAAATGTAGATGTTATCCATGCTGACAGGACGGAGACACAAGTAAGATATTTGCTTTTAGATATGAATTATTCTTTATGAAATGTATATCAATCTTTGTTAATTTTAATACTACAGGTGTATATTATTTTACAACAAATTTTATGAAATGCTTTATTATATCTAACAATAAGTAATTCATTGGTTAACCATCTATCATGAATTAAATTATAATTGAGTTTTAAAGCATATAGCAGTTTAAAAAATTTGTGTATTGAGATTATCATTAAGAAAAATTAAACATATTTATATTCAACAATTTTTCATACTCAATTGCATTTTTAATTGAATTTTTTTTTAATGAAAACGAAAATTTTATTTTAAAATTAAACAGCTAGCCATTTTACAAAAATGGCTGAATAACAATTCCTATTGATAAATTTGATTATGCATATGTACCTACTTGCTTTAATGCGTAAAATTTTAGAATCTTTTTCGAAAAATGTTGGATTTTTTTTTAATTGAGCAAAAAAAATAAATGCATGTGATATCTTAATTGACCCTCTCCTCCCTTACGTGATATTTCGTAATTTTTTGACAACCCCTCCTCGGTCTTTAAGACTCCCTTACTAGCCTCATTTTCGAAAAAGAAAAATTTGATACAATTGCTTGCAAAAGATAGATTTACAAATTACAATTTTATTGATAAATGCACGCTTTTGGATCATACTTCTGTCTCAAGTATTCGTGAAGTTTAGGTTAAATGTTAGAGGCGTATTTTAAAACTTAATATTCATGTTTATGGGGGCATAAAGTTTAGAAAAAAAGTAGGTTATCCCTAAAATTGAACTAATATTGTTTTAATTTTAAATGATGTTAAACATATACCATTGAATCTAAAGGAAAAATTGTATGCATCAGGTAAGGACACTACTTTCAACAAAGAAAACTTTGTTGTAGTAAAAAGGTACTAAAATCAAAAATAAAATAGTACGATCATAGAATTATCAATAAAATAGTATTTCAATTTCAATGTTGTTTTTAAAGAATTGTAGTAGTAAACTTTTTACTTTTTAGAGAGATAACACAGTGCGTGCATTTAGGGAAGGTCGTGTATGGGTCCTGATATGTACCGAATTGATGGGCCGAGGAGTAGATTTTAGTGGGGTCAATTTGGTACTGAATTATGATTTTCCTACTTCGGCCATCTCTTATATTCATCGTATTGGTCGTACAGGCAGAGCTGGTCAGAGAGGAAAAGCTATTACATTTTATACTCAAAATGATGTTGTTAACTTAAGAAGGTTTGTACATGTCTGTGGTGTTATTTTAATTAATGTTATTAACAACAATGTTCAACAATGATTTTATATAAAATCATTACACTCAAATCATTTATAAGCAAAATTTCAAATAAAAAAATTACAACAATTATAGGTCAATATGATAAGTGATTTACAAAATATGTTTTAAAAGATTTTTTAAAAAATAAGCTTATAATACCTTCATTACAATATTTAATATGTAACAAATTACTAGTAGTAACATATAAATCTTTTTTCATAATAGTGTTGATTACTCATTTTAGCATAGCACGAGTTTTACAATCATCAGGTTGCAAAGTTCCAGAGTATATGTTAACACTTAAAAAGACTTCAAAGAAAAATAAAAAATTATTAAAAACATCTGCACCAAAGAGAGATGGAATTCTTACCATTCCAAATTATGAAAAAACTAAAATTAAGAGGAAAAGGTATTTTTATTAGACAATTGCTTTAAGTAATAAAATATTTAACACATTTTACTCACAGGCAGCGTTTAGAAAAAGCAAAATTAGAAATAGTTGGAGTTTCATCATCAGATGAGGAAACTTTATCCAAACCCAGGAGGCCCATGAAAAGACCAAAAAGTAGCAAAAATTTATCAGCAAAAGGCAAAGAACAAAGTCAAAGTTTTAAGCACAAAAAAATCCAGAAGAAAAATACCGACGATCAAACTAAGCACCAAAATAATAATGGTTGTGTCAGTAAATAGATTTTAAGTCTTGTGATGTTACTATTAACTTCCCTATTTTGTTATAAAGAGACATAGAATAATCATGATTACAATTATAATTGTATTGCTGTAAGCAAGTTTATAATAAAATTTTAGAGTGTTGAGATATGTCATTCTTAATAAAAAAAAACAATAAATTTAAATAAGATAATAAGATAATTTAAATAAATAAGATCTTAAGTAATTGATATACTGTTCTAATCTGTATACAAAATGCATTAGAAGCCTCAAGCTTTTCAACTTCGTTGTTATTCATATTAAAACTCTGCAAAAATTATGCAATGGGCACTGGGGAAAGTCAACAAACGTATCACTTGCACTCAGGAGTTCAATGTGAACAACTTTGCCCAAATCTGGAATTTGATTTATTTACTTTTTTTCATTTTTCTATTATTTTCTAAGGAGAAGTTTGTTTTCGCGAAAAAATCCGATTTACTAATGTTATGTTTTCCCGACGTTCCAAGTCATTCTGAATTGATTGAGACTAAGTTTGGAAAACGTACTTGTATGTGTGTGTATGTGAGCCGATTTTTAACCTTTCGTCGACATTTTCACGAAAGTGGCTGGGCGATTTCCAAAATTTAAAAGACATTCGATTCAACTCTATAAAATCTTAGCGTTGGTCAGTTTTGAGCGACGGCTCAAAAACGACCGTTTCTTTGTAATTAGCAAAAAGGTAAAATATTTCGTCTATGTTTATCAATCAATATTGTTTTTTTTAAAAAAAAAGGATTTGATCCACGAAGAGAACAGTCGCATATCAATCAATTTAGTGCGATATTCAGTAAAGTACGTAATTGCGACAAGCGTGACCAAAATATATAGATGCAAATTAATATAGACCAAGAAATAATGCTTAAAGAATAAAAAAATAGAAAAAAAAGAAGTGTAAGCGAAGGCAATAAATAAAAAAGGGATATTATTCGATTCAATTGTCATTTAATTTAAAAAATATTAGGTAATTAACTACTATTTAATTGAACGATTCAACATAACGAAATTTGGAATGCGAAGCTTGCTATCTATTATTAAAGACATGTTACTTGTCTAATAAAAAAGCCTTTTAAACTTTCCTTCGCAAAATAATTAAATTTTCTTCCATTAATGTACGCGTATAATTTGACGGTCAGATACGTTCCATAAAAGATAAAGTCAATCACTTAAGTGAAAGCTGTGATTGTGATAACGCTGACTTCGTAAATAAGCCAGTAATGTAAAGGCATAATGCCTTAAGGAAAATTGCTGGCACTTTCGTACCTAAAATTTAAGTCAAAAAAAAACTTTAAAATTTTTTGAAAAAAAAAAAAAGATTTTTGAAAAATGTTGAAAAGATTTGACGTTTTTGAAAAAAATGATTTTTATTATTTTGAAATTGTTTGAACATTTTGAACATTTCGAACTTTTTTTTGAATATTATACTTGTTTATCTATGGCAATCGCGCTGCGTAGCCGTTTCAGAGATGAAACGGATAAAACGCATATGACTAGTGATCATTCTTTGCCGCCAAATTGAGTTCATTTTTACATTTTTCATTGGTTTTCCGAAATTTCCAGACTTGCCTTCCCAAAAATGTTTTTTGAATCATTCAAATCGGACTCTCCGTACTTTCAAAAACTGAATTACCATTTTTTAACCTTTTTGCCCCGTCTAATAGGAATCGAATAATTTTTGAATTATTCATATCGGTTGATCAGTGTTCCTAAAATCGTCGACGAAAATTTGTATCCGCACACACATACTATCATTTTTTCTAGGGTATGCTAACACGTTTAGAATTATCTCTAAATCGTGAAGATATATAAAAAATTTTAATTTCGATTTTTTTGCGATTACTATTACTATAAATTACCTCATGGAAAATTAAAATGCGGTTTGTTAAATTCTAGATGTCGACACGCAATAAGTTATTCATGGGTTATTCATCTTTCTGCGGTGATCGTTTTGCTTGCCCACTACCTATTGCACGAATCCGTTCGGCGAGTCTGTTCGCAATGTCCGCATACTAAATTATTGCAAACGAAAGCAAATCATGCGCACAGGATTCGCCGTGCGCGTACGCGAGATGGGGATGCACCATAACATTTTATATTCGCACAGTTTACGGTCATTTCTTGTACATAGAAGAAACTCATTTATCGCTTACTCAACGCTTATTAACTTCCCGTAGGGCAAGTTATAGTAATCGCAAAAAAATCAAAAATGAAATTTTTTATATATCTTTACGTTTCAGAAGTTTCTGAACATTTTGGCATACCTTAGGAAAAATGGATGTATGTGTGTGTGTGTGTGTGTGTATGTATGTATGTATGTATGTATGTATGTACGTGTGTGTATGTATGTGCGGATACAAATTTTCGTCGACGATTTCGGGAACACGGATCAACCGATTTGAATAATTCAAAAAACATTCGATTCGTATTGATAAGGAGACGTGCTGATTAGTTTTCCGGATACGAGGCAAAAAGTGCCGAAAACGGTAACTTAGTTTTTTAAGAGAACGGAGCGTCCGATTTGAATAATTCAAAAAACATTTTACTTGTATTGACAAGATGAAGAATCGATAAAATTTTCATGAAGATAGGTCTAGCCGTTTCGGAGATATGGAGGAAAAAGTAAAAAAATGAGTCATTTGGCGGTCAAAAATGATCATTAGACATATGCACATCGAATTAACAGATATTTTATAGAGATTTTTGCAATAAGTATACATTTTGTTAACATTCCTATGGGTTCCGTACCAATGCTTAAGCGTTAGACAGCGACGCGGCGCTTACGCGCTTTATATTTCGTCCTATGCAGTTAAAGCAGTACGATTGCTTTGAAAAAAAGTTCAGATCATCCAAAATATGTCAAAATAAAGAAAAAAATATTTTTTTTCAAAAAAAAAATTAAAAAAAATATATTTTTTTTTTATTTAATTTTTTTTTAAAAAGAAGTAATTTTTTGTCCAATTTATAGTTTCTCAAAAATCTTATTTTTTCAAAGTAAATTTTTTTCAAAAACGTTAATCGTTTTTAAAAAAATAATAATTTTTGGTACGGGAAGTTCCAGCAATTTGCCTTAAGACACGATGCCTTAATTGCCTTAAGACAGAATTCCACTTACAGCTAGTTTATCTTTATGAAACAACCATGAACAAACAAACCACATATTTCACACCACAATCCACAAGTTTCTCCGTTTCGCCGTTCCTCCGCTAAGAAGCTATCGTTTGCATTTGCATGTTGCATGTCGATGTCGCATCTTTTTCTATTGTGTTACGACACAGTGTGTGACTGTGGAGTGAAATGCGTCGTTTATTTGATGGGCTAATTTATGTATTTTCAGTTAAAAAGAAAATGAAACTCAGTAATTGTGCAATTTTTCAATATTCAGTTGCGGCAATCTGTTGATATCTCCTAACAACGCTAATTTAAAATAAATTTCTGCACTTTGTTTTGTCATTGATTTTTGATGCATGAGGTTATGTTGGGATCAAATTTAAGCTGCTTGTTTAAGAAAATGATTGAGAATTATTTCTTGACGATATGAATGGATATGAAATGAAAATTATGTTTATACTAGAAGTACTTGACAAAAGTGCTTAAGCGGTTATGACAATTAAGAAGTCATTTTTTATTGATTTGTCCAAAGAAGGAACGAGTTATAGTATAAGAAATATTAGTACAGGTCAATATTCTGAACGTCAACAATTGTATAGTATTTTATATATGAATAAGCCTTTTCCCATTTTAGTAGTTAGTAGGCAGTGCATGCTCAGGGGAAAAAATAAGGCCTTTTAATAATGAAGATACAAGTTTAGTTTTAGGTTTTGCATATTTTTAGCACCTATTTTCATCAATCATTTTTTATAACTTTAGATGCAGTTTTTCTTCAAAACAATAAATTTTTTTTTTTTGATCAATTAAGCATTTATCATCATTTTGGTCCTATAACATTTTATTTGCTTTAAAATAGAATTTTCAAAACAAAAATATGAATTAATTTATTTTTACAGTTAGGGTTTTGAGCAATCCTTTTGGTGTATTAAAATGGCGTTCCACTGGGTTGAAAACGTTAATACAGCATCCTTTACGCCTAGAGAATACCAAGTTGAGTTAATAGATGCTGCCAGAGACCGTAACATTATTATGTGTCTTGCTCAAAACTCTGCTCGTGATTTTATAGCTTTAAAGATAATACAAGAACATGCGAATGAACTGAGAAGGTAGGTGCTACAGAAAGTATTTTGGCAGTAACATGTAATTCCCATCAAACAGGTGATGGAATTGCCTTCATAGACTTAATAAAACTTACTTAATATATGGAAGTATTTAGTGCATTTAGTAAATATTAAAAAATCTTATTTATTATACATTTGTAAATTGTGGTTGATAAATTTGTAACGATTAATTACAGTGATGTATTACATATGAGAAAAAGAGCGTATATTTGGTAGATGAAGTAAGAGTGGAATCAGTAGCTACTATGCTGAAATATCTTACTGATTTAGATGTTGGTCTTGTAAAAAATCCATCTGACTTGGATCATCTTGAAGAAACAGTTCAGGTATGTATTTCTATTATTTTTAAAGTCACTTTTATATAATGAGAACATTTTTTAACTTTACAAAGGAGAAGTTTTGTTTTCATAAAAAAATCCGATTCGTTAATTTTATGTTT